AAACCAATTTGAACTGCAATCCCGTATAGTTTTGTGAAACTAAAATCCAATTTGATTTCGTGAGTTCAAGCATTGAGGGAACTATTTCTGGTCTTTTATAATATTTTCTCATTTGTTTCTCAGTCTTTTGGTCGCAATTCTCCCTAAAATTATTACAAACTTAATTCAATGTAAATATATAGTAATAACAATGAACTGACCAGTGGGCATACCATCCAAACTGGAACACCTTATTTGATCTCATTTTCTTTAACAAAGTCAAGTGATCGCTGGTCTTAATGTTGGATCTGAAGAGACATATATTCTTCCAGTCATTCGAGTCATATATCTATAAAATGATACAATTACTACAATTGTAATAAATGTTAATTCAATTACTTCTTCAATATCTTTGAGACCAAAATGGTGTCGAGCGATGGGCCACTTAATCAGTTCACTCTCCATAACATCTGATCCAACAATGACTGGAATTTCATTTTTTATATAATTTTCTCCAATTATTTCACTCTTGAGGTCTGAATTTCTTTCAATTCTGAAGATGTCTTCACATAAATAGCAATCGCGTTCTCGTAAGCGTTTTGTCTCATAAAATGGATTATTCATTAAACATGAAGAATGATACCATTTAGTCCAATCCCAATAGGGCTCTACCTATAATTCAATCAAATTAACATTAACACACAATTACTATATAAAATTACTTAGCCTAATAATTAATTCCACAAGTTAATAAATTTTCATTAATTTTAAGATAGTAAAAATACTCTTTAATGTTTTAAAATATTAATAAAAATCAAAATTATTTTAGTGTATTAATTTCTCTTAAAACGTGTCTTATCTTTAGGAATGTTTATTAAGTAAACAGTTTTTGTTTGGAAAACTTATCGCAACAAAACATACCTTAAATAAGAGTAGCCTTCCATACATACACGTCAGTCGATTCAATGGATCCACACTTTTTGCGCAAAACAATACAATTAATATTACCAATAATTTAATTACAATCAAAGAATATTTCTTGATTTTTGATTGTTTTATGGTTGAGTTAAACACTTGGAGACCAATCGAAGCAATTTCTTCATTTGATGTTTCATTTGAAGCAAATCTTTCAAAAACCAATTCTAGCTTAGAATCCATTTCCTTAAGAGTTGTTTCGTTTGTTTCACTTCTTTTAGTAATAAATGTTATAATACTTGTTATATAAGATTTCATTTTATTAGTTATATTTGTTGAATACATTTTTTAAATTTAAAGATGTGGTCTTTTAGAAATGAAAATTTTAAATTGAATCTAGTTTACAATGAATATCATAAAATGAAGTGATTCAAAATACAATACAGTATAAGCGAAACTTGCGCATAGATTCTTGCATTAAAGCTGAGTTCAGGCATGAGCTCTAAATACTCGACTAAAAAAGAACTTAAAATTAAAACTATAAATTGAGTCTGATCATTTTTGGTTAACATTTGAAATCAATATCAATAATGCTTTAAATTAGTTATATTTATTTTTATTAATATCCAATGCTAATTCCAATGCTAATGCCAAATCCAGTGATTTGGTTGAGTACAAAATGACAAATATTTATTGTCATTCACAATATA